GCCAGAAGGTGGGAAGGCCACCAAACTGTGAGAATGAAAGACACACATGATGGAACCCAGAACCACATCATGAAATGAGTATAATTTAGCTGCTCTTAGTCTGCAGTAGCACTGGACTACTTACTCCCAGATTTCTAATGCATTGTTAGAGATAAATACATATTTTTTTGGTGCTAAGCTTAGCACTACTAACACACAAGTGCTTAAGACTTAGGTCTAGGTTGTTTTCTTCTCAGATTCCCCTAGTTAAAATTTTCTCTTATCCTTATATCCCCACACACTTTTTTTCTTTATGTGGGGTCCTTTTTTTTATTCATTTATATGGTCTGTTAAACTGTAAGCCCTTGGTGCACAAGGTTCTTCCCTGGGACTCCTGGAATGGAGTCTTTATATAACAGGGATTGAGTGAAAGATTTCTGAACTGAATTGCATTGAACTGAGTCAAATTTAATTGAATTGTACTCAATTCAGCCAGCCAATGTAAAAAGCAACCCACTAGAGGCTGTTTTCAGTCCTTCTTAACCAGTGCTCTTCATTTGCTACAGTATGTGTTGTACAAAACTCAAACCCTGGAGAACTCACTCTTCCCCCCACACCACTGAGTAGGTGCCTGTTGTTTTGTCTGCCTTACATCCATTCTCCTGGCATTTGATCTTTCATATTAATTTTCTTGCCAGTATATTGATTTTCTTTTCGGGAGACCCCTTCTTCTCTACTCTCAATCCAAATTTCCAGTTGGCAGAAATTGGCACATCATCCAGGCCTTTCAATTCAGTATATTACAACCATTTGGCCATGGTGATTGGCTCAGGTATGGGTATGTGATCCAAGAAAGGCCAAGGACATAATTCTGGGATTTTGTTGGCTGTTTGGGAATGAGAGCGCTCTTTGTACTGAGATTGATAATGGCAAAAACAGTATAAACCTGGAGCTGCCCGGAATCCCAGTAGAGTCATAGTGAGTCTGTGAATGAAGCCAAAACATAGCAGAGCAGAACCAAAAGAGTGGAAGGAGGTGGGGGAGAGACCAAGCCCTGGGAGCATTGGTATTTTAAGTTCTCGGGTCAAGAATAGGATCCCTGAAATCAGACTGGCGCTGATAAACAGTGTGTGTGACTCAGGCAAAATTACCTAGGCCTTCAGTTTCCTCATATGTAAAATGAAGATAATAATGGTACTTTACTTTAATCCTCTTCCTGAGGATTAAATGAAGTACCACATGTAAAGAGCTTGAAATAGTGCCTGACATATAGTTCATGATCAATAAGTACTAGCCATTATTAATACAGATATTTTTATCCATGGTTTCTGACTTATGTAAAGCAATAAATTCTTTCCTTTGCTTAAATTGGTTTGAGTTAGGTTTCTATCACTTGCAACTAAAAGGGTGTTGTGTAATACAATTAATATAAAGCATACAGTCCCAGGTTGTATAGGTTTATGGCAGGCCCAATTCCCTTCTGTGGGCTGAGGCAAAGAAAGAGGATGGAATCAATCTAATCTGGCTCCACTTAGTTGGTGTCTATCAGTAATTTTACCGGAGCAATTTTTCTAACTCCTGGGTTAGGAAAAGCTCTTCTTCATCACCATCCTACTTATATTCCCTTAAAACCTTCTTCTTCTATGGTGCCAGTTAGTAATAGCTCTGATATGATGACTTTTTGTAAAAATATATAAAAATACAAAAAATGTAGAACAAGTACGAGATAGATAAAATGAAAGAAATGTTTCTATAATTTAAATACATTTCCTATTGTTTTTCATAAGCTTTATGCTGGAAAAATTTTACATACTAATTTAGAGTAAATAATATTATAACTAAGCAGCCTACATGCTAAACAGCATACTTTTCTTGGTGTAGATTTCCGAAGGAATATGCAGGGTATTTGCATGCTTAATTCCCATTAGCACCTGTCACTGGGATTTATTATCCCAGAGATAATTCTCCACTCACTGCAGCCAAGAAAAACGAAGCCCTTGTACATGGATTTAAATGAAGATTTCTATTTTTCAAAATGAGATGAATTTCACATCTGTTCTTTAAACACCTGCAGTATTCCAACCCTGAAAAAGTCATATTTAAATTCATTTTTGGTTAAAGTGTGCCCAAGCTTAATTTTATTTAACAACTAGAAAAGCTTGTTCATAATTTGAAATTTTGTTTAGGGGGAAAGAAGAATGTTTTAATCAAGGACTTAGTTCAGTTTAAAATCCATTTGCTCTCATTCTTCCATTCAATCTTCAATGAATGTCTTTTAACCACCTTTTATGTGCCAGGCAGTTTTCTATATTCTGGGTATGGAGTGTGACATTACTAGGAAAAAAAATCCCTACTATTGAGAAGCCTACGTTCTACTGGAGAGTATACGTGTGTTCTATATACGTTATGTACATATATGTATGCACATACATACATATGTGTTTATTTTAAAAAGTGCTATATGGAAGACCAGAGAAGGTGAATGGAATGGAGGCTGAGGGGGTTTGTGTTATTTTTGGTGGTTGGTCATAGAAAGTCTGTCTAAGCAGCGACAGCTGAGCCCCAGTCTAAGTGCCGTGAGCTGGCAATCCTCTGCTCAAGAAACCTATGCGGCACTGCATTCTCTCTCTTTCATAGAAAAAAGCTATGCAGGATGTGAATGCACAGGGCCACTTCCATCTGCAACCACAGATTGTGGGAAACTCACCTGCTTGGTAAACTCATCTGTCTGCTGGTATTTTTCCCGTCCTTGTTTTCATGCTCTCACTCTCCCCTTCCTTTTCCACTTCATCTCTATATACCATTTCTACAACCATTCTCCTGCCCTCTTTAGGCTGAATTTCAGTATTGAACTTCTTGTCTTACTCTTTCTTTCAAATAATTAATTTCAGGTGTATCTGCTTAAAGCACTTAACGTCCCAAGCAGGATTATTGGACAATTTAATTCTATTTAACTAAACTTTGAGGATTCTTTCCTGTTGAGGTGTTTTGGCAATCAATCAACCAATATTCATTGAGTGCCAACTCTATTTTGGGCTCTCTGGTTAAACTCTGGGGATGAAGTGATGAGCAGGGCAAAGTTTCTGCCTTGAAAAGAGTCATGTTCTAGTGAGAAAAGATAGGCAATAAAATTGTAAACGAGGAAACAAAAAACTTTTAGATGTTGTTAATATAATAGTGAGTGCATGTGGGGTTTTCTTAGTATCTCAACCCCTATCCTTCTTGGAAAAATCATAAACACAAATATGCAATATAATCATAACCCCTTCTGGTGCCATCGTTCCGAAAACAAGTGACAGGTTATGGGTTGCCTTGGGGCATTGTCCAACACAGTGGCCATTAGCCATGTGGTTATTAAAAACTAAATTAATGACTGCATAAAAATAAAAGCACCCAATTAACACTAGCCACATTGCAAGTGCTCAGTAGCTACATGTGTCTAAGGACTACCATTCTGGAGAGCATTGATGTGAACATGTTTCTCATTGCAGAAAGTTCTGTTGGACAGAACTAATGTAGTGGGCATGCAGTTCATGGGAATCTTTCATTAATGGTGAGAATCACAGCTAATAATTTTATGTGTCAGGCATTTCACATATGTTTAACTTGTTTATTTCTCACAAAACCCTATAGAAGAGTTACTGCTAGTAAACCTCTCTTACAGATTAGGAAACTGAGGCACCTAGCTTTATTGTTCAAGATCTGTCAACTAGTAAGAAGAAATGCTAAGATTTAAACTCAGTCCGATGTCAGAGTGATACTTTGGCATGGGGAAGCTGAAGAGGTTGAAGAAGAGATTTTAGTATGGCAGTCAGCACCTCCAGAGAAACAGAATATGGCCAGACTTGTCAATGTCTTTGCCAAGTATGACCTTTTTGGGTCTATCAGATTCATCCAAGACAGGTCTCCTTGGCTAGAGGCTCAGAAGCAGCTTGGCAGGCAGAGTCATGGAACGTTAGAACTGAAAAAGACCTTTGAAAACACCTAATAAACTATTTCACAGTTGAAGAAACTGAGACATGCAGTTTACCTAACCTGTCCAGGAAAACATAGTGAGTTATGTCCACAGCCAAGGTTAGACCAGTAGCCTCCTGCCTGAGTATGTGTGCATACACATTCCCCCTTTGACACCATAAGCTTAAAATTCCTTGATACATTCTTTTTTATTAATTTAGAAGTGTACTAATCTTGGGAAGTGGTTTTCTTCTTTCCAGAATGTTGGCTGTGCCAGTGTGTATTGCCATTTTAATCATCCACTTTCCTTTTGTCTAGCCTTTCTGCATTTCACCCAACCACTCTTAGGTTCCTTCTTCATCATTACAACAGGGATTCACAAACTAGTCACCCAGATAATCCTTTCCTGAAATAAGGTACAAAATTCTCAGCAGTTTGAGTTCTTACTCACACCATGGGGAATTTGGAAAACATGTCACGGGTTCCACCATCACTGGGTATGTACATATTTTGTTGTGCATTGTTTCTGGGAGTTTCTCCCGGCATCAGATGTCATTTCACTACCCTTTACAGACTCAATCAACCTTGCCAGCCACCAGGATGCACGCAAATAAAGCCGTGTTGAAGAATGAATTCTCCTTGAGCTTTTGGTTTCTGTTCCCTACAGAGAGGTCATAGACACCTAGAGCATAAAGCAGTCTGGAGTGGCGCTGACAACCCCAAGATTGCAGTGGGTTGGGGCACTGCAAAAAGCTTCATGCCTTTTTCCCCATCACGCAGGACTTCACCACGAGCCCTCACGCCGCTTCATTAATCGCAAGACCCAAAGTCATAGGGCGAGTCCAGTCCCAGGGAGCCTGGCTCGGGTTTTGCCGGCGCCTTGGAGAAGCTTGCAGGCGGCGGGCTGCGCTCCAGTGGCCCAGCCGAGGCCCGGGGCACGCCCGCGGCGCGCCCGGAGTGCAGGAGGCAGGCGCGCTCCCACGCCCGCAGCCGCCTCTTCCTCACGCCCCTCTCGCCGCGCTCGCCCCGCTTCCGCGAGTAAACCACCCGCGGGCCTCCGCCGCCCGCGCCGGGCGCGCAGCTCTCGCCAATCCTCGCTTACATAACGCGGGCGGGCGCGCTCCCGCCGCCGCCACCCGGAGCGGAGTTGGGCTGCGCTCTCCACGCCTCGGCGCGCCCGTGTGCCCCACGCTGGGAGGTGACCCGCCTCGGCCAGCCGGCAGTGGTAGCCGGGACGTCTTTCCTCCGCCAGCGTGAGGACGCGGGGACTGGAGACGGGAGCGGGGACTGGAGACGGGAGCGCCTCTCTGCGCCGAACTCCCTCCGCTCTCTCCTCCTCCCACGTCTCGCTTCCTCCCCGTCACCCCCACCCCCAGGCTGCGTGCGTTCGGCCCCGGCGCCGGGACCCGGAGCAGTCCAGGCTCTGCGCGCGGCGGAGCTGCGGCTGCTCCCGCTGCTGGGGCGAGCGGCGCGGTGGCCGCCCGGCGCCTCCCCGGACTTTCCAAGTGGGGGCAGAGCCGCCGCTCCCGAGCCACCAGTTAGAAGGCACAGGGAAAGGGACCTACAAACTCCTCCTCAGCGTTTCCTCTCCACCCCCTTTTGGCTCTGCCTTTGGAGAAAGTGGAGTGTGGCGTCTGGTTACCATTATTTCTTTGCACTGATCCGAGGTGCACGGATTCAACTGCTTCCCTGTGGAGCTTAACGCTGTTTGCGCGCCTCTGTGTGCGGTTCCGCCCGGCACACCTCTGCCGACGATGAGGAACGGGCTACGGGCGACGGCGGCCCGCTGCGGACTGGGACTGGGATACGTGCTGCAGACGCTGGTGCTGCCCGCCCTGGCTCTCCTCAGCGCCAGCGGCACCGGCTCGGCCGCTCAAGGTAAGGGGGTCCGCCGGGCCCCGCGGCCGCCTCGCCTCGCTCCTCCCTTCCCTCCTTCCCGATTCTCCTGGCTTCCTTAATTCGCCTCGTTGCTCTCCACTGGAAGTCACTTCCACTTTCCCAACTAGTCAAGAAGCTTTGGTTATTATTTTTCATCTATCTGACGAGATGGGTATGGATGGACCGGGGACGCGCCCGGTGTGGACAAGCATCTGTCTCTGGGCATGTGGGCTGGGCGCCTTGGGTGTCTTGTACTTTCTGCTGCACACGCACGCGTCGTTCCATATTGTACGCGCAGGTTTGGAGAAACCCACGGTGCCGGTGCCTGTCTGAGTGCCATACATGCACGCTGATGCGCAGAGGCTCCCCGCGCTGTGCCACGTCTGGGCCCACGGGATCTTCAGTGAGTCTCTGAACAAGCCAGGCGCTGAAGGGCGCCCAGTTAACGAAATGTGCCCTTTACCGCCGAGGACACACAGCACCGGTGCCCCTGCGCTGCTGCTCGGGGCACCGTGGAGAGACCCGTCCCAGACCCGCGACCCAGCCTTCAGCAGGCCCTGAGGTGTGCGCGCGTCCGCCCTCAAACACTTTCCGCATCTCCCTCCCAGAGGGCGTCCGAGAAACTTAAAACCCCAGAGCTCTCGGGAAATGGACTGGTCGTTCAAAACAAACCCGAAACTCCCTGGGGTAACCGTCCAGTTTATAACTCTGACATTTTAATTTAACGTGTCTGAGCCTTCAAATAAGCTAAATAAGTAATCCGGGGCCCTGGGTAAAAGCGAGGTTGGGAGGAGAGGGACCAGGAGTTGAGGGTGGGTAAGGCAGGAGGGGGAGGCACGGGGCTGATCGCCCAGCTCCCTTGCCCCCCGAGTTTGAGGTGGTAGGGGTAGCGCCCACCTTTCCGAGCCCGGGAAGGTGAGTGGAATGGAGAAGAGGAAAGAGCCAGCGCTGCCTCCTCCTTCGGGCTACCTGGGCTCCCAACCTTCTGCCAAGACGAGCGCCCACCTGAGTCTTTTCACCCAGTTCTGTGGTAGTGCCTGGCTTCAGGGGAAGTGGCTTTTTTTCTCCTGAGGTGGGGGTAGGAGTGGGTGTGGAAGAAGCTTATGTATCAATCGGAGGTAATTCAGGGATCCCATCATCTCGGTTACACTTCTTTCTAAATTTGGAGTGCAGATGAGATGTGGCGATAGCCTCACCCGCTGGGCGATGCGCAGACCCTGGAGGTTCCCGACAACGTCCCCGGGATCTGCTAAGGCGCTGGGGGCGAGTGCGTTGGGAGGGGAGGAGAGCCCTGGACATAGGCGAGTGGGGTCCGGGTGGGGAGGTAAGTGATTAGCAAGGCTTTGTGAATTAGCCATAGCTACTTTTGGAGTAAATTTTCTTGCTGCCTAGCTCAATGGCCATGCTCATAAATCCTTCCCTTCTTGCCAGATGCCTCCCATCCCTGACGTTATGCCCTGGTTTTCTTATGCATACTTCCAGAGCTCCTCTGTCCGTTTCACGAAAGATTATCCATTGAGATCAGATCAACTTCTTGTCGGTTTTTTCAAATTGGTAAGAGGTTCTCAGGACTGCATCCGAGGGTGCTTGGGAGTGGGTGTTTGGAACTCGGAAGCGTGCAACCTGATGAATAGTCGTGGAATCCAATGCTTGACTCCCTGTGGAATTCGCTCGCTGTTACTGGGTGCACAAAGGACTAAGCCACAGGGTGGTGTGGGTGGGAAGCTGGGAGAAGGACTAGGCGGTGAGAGAACTGTTTGGGAGAAGGACAAGTCCCCAAAGATGCTGAACAGGGAGGCACAGGATCCCTGCTGAGAGCTTACCACAGCCAAATTAAAAAGACTAGGAAGAAAAAGAATCAATAAAGATAAGCGAACAGGAGATTTTAAGTGGTTAATATGGATAGAAGGGAAAAGGAATTAAAAGAAAAATATGCCCAAGATAGACTGAGCGTTTGCCACTTGCACTTTTTCTTCTTATACACCAAGCAAGCCAAAGACTGAGGATTGAACCTGCTCTTCTGATCTTAAGTGGAAAAATAGAATCTATTTTCTTGGGCATGTGCATTTCAGTGCTGCTGTTCTCTATTTAGCTTTAGTTCTGTCAGTTACTGGTGAATAAACTATTTATGTTTGAATCTGTGGTCTTTGAAAGACACTATTCCACCACTTTTATCTTTGTTATGCTCCATATTCCAGGATACCAGCTCTTCCTGTGTTGTCAGTTAGGTATCAAAATTGTAGAAAGTACCGAACTCTGCTATCAGTTACTATCTTCTACTATCACCCTCACTCCAGTCCACTTCCCCGGTGTGTTTACTACAGGACTGCAATTAACACAGTTCTCAGAACCACTTTTAAAATGGTCTGTCAGATCATCTTTTCCTTCTAATTTCATCTCTTTTCTCCTTCCTCTTTGGGCTAAAACATAGGGAAATAAAAGGTGATCTTGCTCCTTCAAGGTATGATTTCCATGTGCTCAGGACTTAAAGATGGGAATGAACTGTTTTTATGAGTGGAATTACGCATGCAATTAAGATGAGAAAGTTAATTTAAGCACTTTACAATGTGGATGAAATTTTCATTCTGTTGTTAGAGAAGTACTAGAGAAATTAGAAGTTTTAGAAAATATGTATCTTCCAAGATAGCCAAGAAAACAACAGATGTTTAAAATTTAAAAATAATAATAATAGTAATAATGGTACATGCGAGTGTACTTCATTTAGTGACTGTGGTTTAAAGAAAGACAGCAGTCATTTTAAACAGGAGATTCCCTAGGCTTTAGGCAACAACTTTCTCCTTTCTGGCTATGCCCTAATTGTTTCATTCAGGATTGCTGGGAAGTCCTTGCTCCAGGGAATTTGTGGTGTTTCTGACTTCCAAGAATGATTTTGCTTTTGCTAGGAAGAGAGATAAAGAGAGAGAGAGGTGTGTGTGTGTGTGTGTGTGTGTGTGTGTGTGTGTGTGCAGTGTGCTTCAGAATTGGTGTCCTCTGTTTTATAAATGCATTTTATTTCTGGACTACACAGCATTGATATTCTGCTTATCTAGCACCAACTAGTGTTATGAATGTTAAAACCACCTAACTCAGAACAGAAAATGACTGAAGATGCTAATCATATTGGATAATTCTCTATTTTTGTAGGTTAATTTATAATGCTTTTTTAAACAATATATTTCTTCCTACAAAAAAGTAAAAATTATGATCATGCATTTATGCATATTGATGTGGCATAGACAATTGGTATGAGAGGTGACTGAATTTCATTACAATTATACCATGTATTTTTCAAATCTTAGGAGCAGAGTAAATTCATAACTTCACATTTGGAATTTTCAGTAAGAAAATGTAAGCTAGCTTAACCTTTGTTTAAAAAAATAATTTCATATATTTTAGCTTAGGGAATACTTAAAAGGTTTGAGAGAACAAACTTATCAAGCACTTGTAAAGAATGAAGAACCATTAGATAGCTAACATTTATTGACTCCTCGCCTTCTGTGTTCTGGATACTGGGGATTCAAGAGTTCAACAAGACAGGGAGGGCCCTTAAGCATCTCCTATTGTAGTTTGGGAGCTGATTGTTTTGATCAAAACTCAGACTGATCTTTTTTAAGCAAATCCCCTAAGGACATGAAGGAGGCAGGAGCTCTACTAGGCAAGCCCTTTTAGATTATTTAGAATTATAGTTGAGACTTAAAGATAACTGTCCTGTAATATATTCCAGGTTCTCTAATTAGCACAAACAGCGAAAGTGTGTTCTATTAGGCCCTAACTGTGTTTAGCACTTTGCTGATTTAGGTTATGGCTTTGCTGGAGCAGCAGAGGGAGTCACTCTCAGAAGAAGCATTAAAATTACAGGCTGCAACCTCTTTAGGAGGATAATGAGGAAAGTAGTGGGGGCAGGGATTGAGCCAGCGCTCTTGCCTTGCAGTTTTAGCCTACATCTTTTTTAGTTTGACTTTTGTGTTTGTGTCACTTCAAAACAAGCCTGTTTACTTTTCCCCACGAGTTTTAAACTTATTAGTTCATTTGGTTAGTGTGTGCTATTGGAAGTTAAATTCTTACAGTTACTGTGTGCTTATTAGGTCCCATACTGTGTGACCTAATATTTGCTGCAGACACAGTTAAAGACAATAGTTTCAGAGCTCAAGGAAGACAGGCTTACAAGCATATAATTATAATTGACTTTATGAAATATAAAGTAGTTCTACAGTAGGCATAGTTCTAGTACTTTCTGCATTTAAATATCTGAAGATGGTAAACTTAAGTCAGACTGAGGTTCTTGTGTGAGTGATAGTGGGGTTTCCAAAATTTCTGCACAGAGGAATTTAAGGGTGGCTGGTTGGAAGTGGGAAGTTCTTATGCTAGGTTTGCATTGCATATCTCTCACTTATATTAACTCTCAGTTAGATTTAATAAATATTTGGTCTGGCTTTGGAGAGGTAAAGCTAATGGTGTTAAAGGTATGTGCCCCTTCTACCAGTTGGCTTAATGGTTATCAATGTCTCATAATCCTGCCTCTGCCACCTCCTGGCTGTGTTATTTAGCTTCCCTGTGCCTCAGTTTCCTAAATGTAAAATGAGGATAATGTATACTGTAAATTACGTGAAGAGTGAATGAATTAATATGTGTAAAGTATTTAGAGCAGTGCCTGGCCCATGCAAACTAAAAATTATTCTTTGGCTTCCAACTCTGTATACCAGTAGCAAAGAAATCTGGAAGTTAAAAGGAACTGAAGGTCAGTAGTTTTGACCTCAGTGCGGGGATGCTGCAGACACTGCTTCCCCCAAAGCAGCACATGTTGCTGTCTGAGGAGATGCTCCACAGTGTATCACTGCAAACTCCTGGGCAGTGCATGGTTCTTTGAGCAGCTTGTAGGAAGCTCTTTCCTTTCTTAAACCTATTTCTTCCTTTCTGGTCTCTCTGGGAAAATTAATCTAATAACAGGTCTAAAAATGCAGGTTAAATCCTGACTATAAGTTCTACTCTTAACTTTTTAT